CAGTACAAGTTTAAGCCGTGATTTTAGGAATAATTACTTTTACTAAATACATAGATTCTGTCCAAGAAAAGAATACATTCTTATTTAGCATTAAAAATCTTTTATTTTTTTATTGAGTTGATAGAAAATCCTTATTTTATTTGCAATTTATGACTTTATTAGCAAGGCTACACAGTACTACTATCTTGGAAAAACATCTTTAATCTTATTGGCGCACTAAGTATAGGTACGGTGTTAATTCAAAATCAAATTATAAATTATATATTTTGAGAAATACATCGTTATAATATTAAAAAAAATTCTTTTTTTTAGAAAACATGTAAACTAATGTGATATGTTTTTAGGGTTTTATTAATCTTATATTAAAAAAGATATGCTATCTCATGTCATAGAGATAAACTTGTGAGCTTCATCACCTAAAAAAAAAATGACACAGTTATCGAAAGATGTGTAGGAAAAAAAATTATCACATGTAGCATAAGAGTAATTTTTCCCATATTTTTATTGGTGGATTGTACACGTTAGTGCAATATATTAGATTTTTTCCTTATCTTGGTAGGACCCTGAATCCGAGAAGTTGAACTCTATAAGCAGAAGGGAGACAACTCTTTGCCTCCCAGAGTGTTGAAGTTATTTGACAGCTTTCCCTTTTTAAGCGGAGACTTCCTCTGTTACTGAGCTGTATATGTAACCACATCGATGATTTTGAAGCCTGTGTTCTGCGTGTTGTGTTACAAAAGTCAATTGTAACTATGAATAGCAAATTCAAAGTTTGTTTTCTACGAGGTAATAACTTTATCGGACTAATGACACCAGCTTGCATCCATGAATGAACGACCACTTAAACATATCTCAAATAACATTAATTAGAAATAGTCATTGTTAGTGTAATTAATGAAAAATTTTATATCAAAGCTTGGGGCGTGTCTGTGTATATAAGGATAACTTATTCGTAATCTAAAATTAATGCTAAATTTTCATTTTAATAATCAAAGTTTTGAATTTGTATGCAACTCTATAATATGCCCTTAAACAATATTTTAATAGCAAATTTCTAAAATTTCACTTATTTAAATAATTCCTTTAAAAGTATGTTCTAATAAATTTGACTAATCTTATTTTGAATTTGAGTTTTTCCATCCTCCTTAAAAATTGAGACTTCCAAGAATCGAATTTAGTATCATCTAGGTCAAATTCTGAAGTCTAGCTAAGTAATTACTTGAGCAACAACTCTTGGATAGAAAAAACATGATCAAAAATTGAAATTGCCTATTAATTAATGTAGTAGGTAAAAAAAACATATAATAAACTAACACCAAATCTTTCTTTAAAACATTAGAGAATTTGAGAACCACAAAATGTTATTATACAATTCATAAAGAAGAAAAATGCACTGATAATTATTGGTTCAATTAATAAGAAATTTATTTGCTTTAATTATAGATTTTAAATTCGTGTCCTATAGAATTTAAAAAATGGTTTTAAGAGAGTCCCTTTGGATATAAGTTCGAACCGAAGTAATCACACAATCAATGTGGCTGGAAAGACAGAGAGAAATACCAATAATTTTCTGCTAAGAGACTTTGCTTCATATACAAAATTTCATGAACTAAATCAATAAGAGTATCCCCCACCCCACCCCCATTTATCTTTTCTTTAAACAGTCAAGTATTATCCCAACACGTTCTTCGATTGGTCATTAAAATCTCTTCTCTGAACTTATAGGTCTCACAACTCCTCTACAAACTAATAATAATTCAACTTTACTCCTTCAATATAAATTATCAATTTTTTTATGCAATTGTCAATAAAAATAAAGATCCAAAATATAAACCAAAATTTGTCCATTGTATAAACAAGATAGTACTAAGTTCACTATGTTACCAAACTTCCAAAGTATGGTTATTAGTTGTAGTGAATTCGTAGTTTATGAATTAGGTATAGTCTCCGTCAGCAGAGTGGTCCAAAACAAGATACGGGTCAGAAATTCTCTTGCACAAAATCTTGAACATGAGTATTTTTTTTGAAAGGCCACGATGCCCTGACTCCTCCTTATACATCTTTGTCCACGCATTCCTGGCTGTCCTAACTAGCTTTTTCTTCTTTTACTAATTAACCTCCTTCTCAAGTATCAATGATTTTGATTTCCATGGCATGAGAATGATGAGGCCATCAGTCACACAACCCTGGTCAAATATAAAAGTCTTCACCAAGACAGCTCAGATAGACACCAAGTTGGAATTTCTAAAGTTAGTCTTTTAAAAAAAAGTTAGTAGAAGTCCATTTTAGAAGAAAGTATATGCAGTAATTAATTAAAAAAATTGATAAAAAGAGTTGTTGTTTTTCTTAGTTGTGGTTCTATCCAATTCAAATTGGATTAGTCACATAATTAATGAACTGATAGAAAAATTTGTTAGAGATATTAATATAAAATTATTAATATAATTATTACTTATTAACTTAAGTTGTTGGATTAAATTTGTTGCATTATATAGTACCGGAACTTATGACCAATCATAAATCTGAATATTACCGCCCCATATTAATATAAAATCATTATGTGGTTATCACTTACCAACTTTTTTTTTATAAAATTTTAAAAAAATAATTGATTAAAAAATTGAAGGAAGTTAATTTTGAAAGAATTTAGATTATTTAATCTCATTTATTTGAATTTAATTTAATTTTATATAAGGAAATAAATGAAAAGAGAAACACATTCAAAGTCAAAAATTATAAATAGATTTTCATAAGTTTTAATCAGACTTTATAGGTTTATAATTATTTTAGTCTATTTCTTTTTATACATAATTTTGTCACGTTAAAAAATCCATGGTAATGGGGGTATTGTTATAAAATATGTCTTGCATTTTATTTTTAAATTTCCGTCAAGATTGATGCATATAATCTCTCTCTCTCTCTTTCTCTCTCCAAATCTTGGGAACATTTCATATACAAAATCAGTGAGTCTGTTGTGAATGACGAAGGTACAAGTGGGTGGCTAGCTAATTAATGCTTTCTGGTTAAAAGTTTATTTAAAACTTTAATTAATCTGGTAGTGATCACCCACTTTATACTAAAAACAACGAAGCCCTGTTAATTGGACCAATTGCTGATGTTTATTCGATTCATGTACTTCTTTATATGTTTGAAATCTGACAACACACACCCACACACGAAGACCATAAAATTTTGAATGATAACTGGATTCAACTATTGAGGAAAGTTGAGAGAAACCTCCCTGTCGTTGACATAACCGAGGAATTGTATGCAATAAGTTCTTTGGGGTGTTTGGTAGAGGAGAAATTTTTTTTATCCAGGAATCACGATTTTCAGGAATATGATGAGAAAATAAGTTTTCTGGTAATGTTACTAAAAAGTTGTTTGATAGACTAACATATTCCCGGGAATATTGGGTTAATTTTCTTGATGCTATGTTTAGTTGTATTAAATTTTTCCTTGTCATAGAAATCCTAAAATACCATCTCCTGGATGATATTGCTGGATGGTTTTTTCAAAAAAATTTACACACAAAATAAAATCCCGAGAAAATCAGATTCTTGGGAAAATTTTAAAAATCTTGTACCAAACGTAGATAAATAAGATTACCATTTTCAGTTTCCCGGGAATCCTAAAAAAATCCGTGTACCAAACGGTCCTTTAGGTACTTTTGGACAGTGTTGTTAAATCTGACTCGGGCATTGATCTGGTTGAGGTACTAGGTCATTGGATTACTGGTCGGATCGGTAGATCACTAATCGGATCGGTTGATCCAGATATATATAAATATATAAAAATATATATAAATATGAACATGTAAATTCAATTATATTCTTCATATCTAAAATGAATTAAACAAGATTTATTAAATAAGCTCAAAAACATGAAAAATAAATAAATAAAAATGCACGCTATTATTATGTCAATTTAGATTGCAACTCAGAATCCCCATAAACATACTTCTCAATAAACATTGAACTCATTTTTTTCAAACTCATCTAAATTAAAATGACATATGTCACATTCTCTTAATTTATTATTCAACAAATTGCTTCACTATTGAAAGTTGAAATTTGAAGTCATTGTAGAAGAGTATACTAGCAAATAAAATTACAAAAAGTTTTTATAATGAGTTCTATATTTTTGTCTGACAAGTTAAAACAATTTTGATTTTTTTTTAAAATGCATGATCCGACCGGGTCGCCAGGTCACCAGTTTTGATCGAATTTGACTTGTTTTGTCTGAATTTTGACCCGATTTGACTAGATCGATACATAACCGATCCAATGCTTGACCCGAACTGGTCCGATAACCGATTCACCGGATTCCGGGTCGGGCCGAGTTTTGCAAAGTGTTTTTGGAGGTCAAAAAGTATTTACTTTGTAAAATTTAATTATATGAATCATTACTATTTTCAAGTTTAACTATATTTTTTATATTTAAGGTTTTTCTAGACCAGTGACCATTGACCAGTCATAAAAGTCCAATTTATCGAATCAGCCTCTAAGGTCCATATAAGAAATTATACCCCTGCCTTCATAAAGTAAAACAAAATGTCCCAAAATTGAATCGCGCGAGATTAAATGCTTGCCATAATGTGATACACTACTCGTGGAATGTATGTCCGTACCATCATTAGTACAAGAAAATGCAATTTAAGGTACGATCAATATGAAGATTAAAAGAATAAAATTGTAATGCCTCATCTTTATACGATCAAATTACGGACACTACCATACGATTCTCTCCTATCCTATTATATTAAAAGCATAAAAAAAAAAAAAAAAATACTATTAACATAGTTAGAATAGGACCAGGTATCTCTGTGTATGACTCTGACCAGTAGTGACTTTTAAGTACAGGAAGTTGCGTATTGGTAATTCAATATATGATGGCTAGTGTCTAAAAAAATTACTACAATTCCATTGATTGAGATAATTTTACAAGCTTCGCACCTAAATTGATAACAAAAAATTTAATAAAAATAAAGAACATAAAAATTACAAGCCAACACAATTTCTTGAGGATGTGATTCCACCATCAACAACAAGATTATGACCACTAACATATTTGGATTCATCGCTAGCAAGATAAAGGGCAGCCTCAGCAATATCTTTGGCCCTTAAAGTTGTTCCTTTCAAGCTGGCAAGCCCTCTCACAAACTCCTCCGTTTTCTCTACTTCCTCATGGAAAGGTAACCCAAAATTGATTCTCTCATCATCATCATCATCATCATCTTCTTCATGGCTTGTTCTCCATGCATTCACAAGCATGGATGTGGCCACCCCAAATGGAGAAATGCAATTGACCCTTATCCCATACCTTCCTAACTCACAAGATGTGTTCTTTGTAAGCCCAACTATAGCATGCTTTGAAGCTGTATAAGCATGTGGTCCAAGCCCTCCCATGACTCCAGCTACACTAGCTGTGGATATAATGGACCCAATTCCTCTAGGAATCATCACCCTTGCTGCGTGCTTGATTCCTAGAGCCATTCCCTTCACATTCACACGCATGACTCGGTCAAACTCATCAGGGTCAAAATTGATAATGCTCTTGTTCTTTGACTGGTTTCCAAGCACCCCAGCATTGTTGAACATTATGTCTAGTTTTCCATAGCGAGAAATTGTAAAACTCACCAAGTTCTCAACGTCTTCTTCAATGCTAACATCACAATGAACATAGGTAGCTGAAGGAGCTAATGTCTCAGCAAGCATAGTTCCAAGTGCATCTTCAACATCAGCAATCACAACCTTTGCACCATTCTTGACAAAAACTCGCACTGTTGCTTCCCCAATTCCTCTGGCACCCCCAGTTACAATAGCAACTTTGCCTTCCAACCTATAACAACATGAAACAGTTCAATTGTTGTCAGGAATTGATAAAGTTTACATTTTTTGATGTGGTTTTATATAAGCTAGATGTGAATAGTACCATGTCTTCAATTAGACCTTGCTACAGAATATATATAAAGATTATTCATAATTGATAAACTTATTAAAGGTAGATTTTAGCTTCTTAGTAGATTAATGGGTTACCATGGCTTTGCTTCATTTTAGAGAAAAAGAGCACAAGATTGAGGATTGTGGACTATTCATTCATGGGGTGGAAGACATTTTTCTAATATGTTAGCATTAAAAGAAGAAGCCACAGAACTGAAAGGGAATATGTTTACTATGTTAAAATTAGTACCTCCTAGATGAAGATGAAAAACTGCTTTCTCTTGCAAGGATGGGAACTCCTTGAAGGGGTTTATCAGGCATTACTTCAGCAGCAACCATGTTTGTGGCTGAGTATTGGGGCTCTACTGAGAGCATTCAAGAGAGAAACAAGGAGAGACAGAGGAAGCAAAGGCTTACAAAGACCGTGCCAATTAGAATGGCAAATATAGCTATTTATATAGAAGCATTTTGAGTTGAGTTCTTTGGATCTCCAGTGCTGCGCTCTTTCCTAATTTTATTTTTTGGTTTTTTCTTTGGTTCTAGTTGTAACAACATAATTGTAGGTATTTTTAGATGTCTTTATTTCCTGTTCCCCCTGTTTCACATGACTTATTTCCAAGTACATAGGATCACTATTATTATTATTTTTTAGCCCCCGCTAAAAAATTGGTGTTAGAAAAGTGGTAGGTGTACGTACAAACTTTAGATAAATGAATAAGAGGAGATTACTAAATTTTTTTACTACTAACTTACTACCTATCTAATTACCATTAGATTAATATTTTTTCTCTCTTCAAAAACTTTTTAAAATTCTCTCTCTTTGATCCAATGATGATGTGATGGGTAGTAAGTTAGTAGTAAGAATTTTTAGTAATTAGAATATCCTCACTCAATCAATAAATAAATAGGAGAGATAAGCAATTAAGCACTGTGCAGAATAAGTAATTATTAAATTGCATTTCAAAATAAAAAGTTTTGACGCGATCTTTAACAAATTCATGTTATTAATTTAAGGAAAATATATTTCTATAAAAAAAAATCTGCAGTGTAATGATAAAAAAAAAAAAAATTCTCTTGTCACGTTAGTCAATAATGTCCAAGGAGAAAATTTTTTATTATTATTATTACAATTATGTATTATCCATAATATAAAGTGTAATCAGTTGTTATAAAAAAATTTCTCTCCAGCATGTAGAAAAAATTCACCCTTAATATTTTTTTTTTGGTAACTAAAGATTTGTCTTTCTGTTTTTTGAGTTTTGTTCTTTGTTCCGTTGTAGTTGGGCTTACAAAGAACACATCTTGTAATTAAAGTAAAAATTCACCCTTAATTTAATCTACTTTCAAAAGTTGTTAAAAATAATCAATTTTGAATAAAGTAAAATAGATTAATAAATAATTTTAAAGGTAGAATAAATTGGTAATTAATTTTAAAATAAAAGTATATCGAATAATCGGCCAAATTTTATAGTATTTATTTTTGTTGATAGTTTTTATAATACATTTTTTATATGGGTTTTGACATGAACTTTTCAACCGATTAATAATAAATAAATAAGCATATAGTAATTTTTTAATTTTTTTTATAAACAAACCCTAATTATCTTTTTGAAGCGAGTCGGGTCCCTAATAGTCACAATTAAAGTTATTCACTGTTGGAGATTATATGTAACAGTATATTGTTTGAATTCTTTGTAACGTATATTGTTTGAATTCTTTGTAACCGTAGGTTTTTGTAACGTATATTGTTTGAATTCAATTCTTTGTAACCGTAGGTTTGAATTCTTTGTAACGTATATTGTTTGAATTCTTTGTAACCGTAGGACTGTTTAGATAGAGTATTTATTTGTTTTAGTATGTTACGTTGTTACCATTTATTGTATGTTCGCCTATTTAAAGGCTACCAATGAATGAGATAAACACACAGTTGAAATATCAAGTTTATCTTGGTATCAGAGCAATCCTAGTATACACGTTTCCGCATTCCCTTTCAGTGCGAAAGCTGGTTCATTTAACATGGCACCAGGTGGTGGCAACAAGTCCAAAACAACTGATCCTAGTTCGCCATTTTACTTGGCTGGATCCGACAGTCCAGGTCTCTTGTTAACGATTGTCATGCTGCGTGGTGAGGCCAACTATGACAACTGGGCCAAGCTCATGAAAAAAGCATTGAAGGCGAAAAACAAATTGGGTTTTGTGACCGGTTCAGTCAAGAAACCAGGAGAGGATGATGCCGAAGAGTGGCGCGCCTGGGAGATGTGCAATTCGATGCTCAATGGTTGGATTCACAACACCATTGATGCAAAAATTCAACCATTCATCAAGTGCTTTGATGACGTCAAGGACTTATGGAATGACCTAGAGGAAAGGTATGCAGTGCAAAACTTTCCAAGATAGTATCAACTGAAATCCAGTTTAGCCAATATCAAGCAACATGGAGATAGCGTTGGTGATTATTACACCAAACTCAGGGTTGTATGGCACGATCTGGAAGGCAGCAAAACTCGCAAGTCTTGCGATTGTGGTGATAAGTGTGCCATTGCCAAAGCAATCGAGGAGGAGCAAGAGCATGATCGCGTTTATCAATTTTTGATGGGGCTGGATTAATCTACATTTGGCAATCTGAGATCCCATATCCTCAACACTTCTCCTCTTCCTAGTGTCAACAAAGTGTACGCAATTGTCACTCAAGAGGAGACCCATCGTAGTATTTCTCGCGTTCAAGATGAGAGGAGTCAGGTAGTGGGATACTCAGCCCAAACCGATTCCATGAAGCAGTCAAACACGTCCATGCAGCAACGGATGGTTCCTAACAAACCACAAGACAGAATACCTTGCCCTCATTGTGGCAGGACCAATCACGACCCTTCCAAATGCTGGAACGTTCTTGGTTTTCCACCAAACAGGAGTGCTGGTCGCGGACGAGGAAGGGGAGGACGTTCGGCAGGACGTTATACGCATGTTCATGCGACGTTTGCAATGGATGCCTCACACCCAGTTGCTGCTAACTCTCTTCCTCCAGACGTCTCCCATTCTGCCTCTTCTCAAGTTGTTGCACACTCCGTTTTGACCCCAGAAATTGTGAACAAACTGTTAACATTGGTAGACCAGCCTCAGTCACATGAAAAATTATCTGGTAAGCGTATTCATTCTCAATGGCTCATTGATAGTGGGGCCTCACGTCATATGACAGGCACTTTGGCTTTATTAGCTGACATTACACCTATTCCCCCTCTATCTGTGACTCTACCAAATGGTTCTATTACTTATGCTGCAAAACAAGGCTCGATGGTGCTTAATACAAACTTCAGCTTGTCAAATGTTTTATATGTGCCTAACTTACGCTGCAATCTCATCTCAGTTTCCCAATTGCTTCACTCCAAGAGCAGTAGCGTTACATTTACTGATAAAAAGTGCATTTTGCAGGACCAAGTGCTGAAGAGGGAGATTGGTTTGGGTGAACTTCATGAAGGAGTCTATGTGTTTCAGCCTTCATGTGCTTCAGCTTCGGCAAGTCAAGCAGGAGAGTCAATTGACTTGTGGCACAACAGGCTAGGCCACGCATCCTATGATATCCTATCTCTGGTTCCAGAATTTAAAGCTTTGCAAAATAAAGTAGTATGTAAGGCATGTGAAGTTTGTCATCGTGCCAAGCAAACTAGATCAATGTTTCCTATAAGTTTTTCTCGCAGCAAAGAATGTTTTGATTTAATCCATTGTGACACTTGGGGTCCTTATCAAAATTCTTTTTCTTCTGGTGCACGTTATTTCTTAACTGTGGTGGATTACTATAGTAGGCATGTATGGGTTTTTATGTTGGCCGATAAAAGTGAAACTTATGATCGGATGTGCAAATTTCTTGCTATGGTTCTGAACCAATTTGGTAAAACCGTAAAAATAATAAGGTCTGATAATGGTACTGAGTTCAAATCTAATAACATGGTGAAACTCTTGAATGAAAAAGGTATTTTGCAACAAACAACTTGTGTTTATACGCCTGAACATAATGGGAGAGTCGAAAGGAGGCATAGACACATCCTTAATGTATCATGTGCCTTACTGTTTCATGCAAATCTCCCTGTTGATTTTTGGGAGGAGAGTATTCTTGCTGCTATTCATATAATTAATAAAACACCTACAAGAGTTCTCCAAGGCAGGTCACCACATGAAGAATTGCATGGAGTTAAACCAGATTATACATACTTGCGCACGTTCGGTTGTCTGTCATTTGCTAATACAAGACCGAAACCAACTGACAAGTTTGCTCCACGTTCGCGACGATGTGTTTTCATCGGATATGCAATAGGGCAGAAAGGTTGAAGATTGTTTGATATAGAAGCACAACAAAGCTTTGTGTCCAGGGATGTAAAAAATTTTGAAAATATTTTTCCTTTTCGCGAAGCTCTAGTACAACCTGTTTCTGCACCAAATTCTCGTGTGCCTACAGAGCCAAATTACTTTGACGAAGGCCAAATTGTCCATGACGGTTCTGATGCATCAAATGACAGCCCAACGCCTAGTGGATCATGTGTTCCTCTGGACGATAGGGGGAGTGTTTCGCTGGAAGCAACACCAACTAACGAAGTTGCCGCTAGGGAGTCCTCCTTACTAGAAAGAAGTTCGAGTTCTAGTGATGCATCAACCCAACAGCAGTTGCTGGAAGCAAATCTGCGTCAAACAGTCACACGCCAGCACCGTAACAGGAAGCAGCCATCTTATTTGCAGGACTATGCATGTCAAGTAGCTGAAACACACACTCCTTCATCTCTCCCTACTCAAACCAATGTCACCTTAGGTACTCGGTATCCTATGTGCAATTATCTTAGCCTCACTAACTTTTCTAAGCAACATCAAGATTTTGTTGCAGCTATTGACACAGGTCATGAACCACGTACATTTCACGATGCTATGAGAGACTCCCGATGGGTGGAAGCCATGAGGGCTGAAATCACAGCCTTAGAAGACAACCATACATGGTGCCTCATGGATTTACCTCCAGGGAAGCGTGCTCTTCCAAGCAAGTGGGTGTTTAAAATAAAATATCGTTCTGATGGAACGGTGGAACGGTATAAGGCAAGATTGGTGATTGCAGGTAATTATCAGATTACCGGAGAAGATTACAGTGAGACTTATGCACCAGTGGCAAAGATGGTGAGTGTACGTACATTGCTTGCAGTGGCTGCAGCAAGAAACTGGGAGTAGCACCAGCTTGATGTTCATAACGCATTCTTGAATGGAGAAATAAGTGAGGAAGTTTACATGAGATTCCCCCTGGATTCAGTACTGGGTCTAAGCATAAAGTATGTCGTCTTACAAAGTCATTGTATGGTTTGCGCCAATCACCCCGAAACTGGTTTTCCAAACTCAGCAGTTCGTTGACGGCATATGGATTTGTTCAGTCAAAAGCTGATTACACGCTCTTTACTATGCAAAAAGGGGAGGTGTCTCTTGCACTTTTAGTTTATGTCGACGACATCATCTTAGCAGGTAATAATTCACATGCTTGTCTTGCAGTCAAGGAGTATCTGAATCAGTGTTTTAAAATAAAAGACCTGGGTAGTCTGAAATATTTTTTGGGTATTGAAATTGCCCGCAGCAAGAAAGGAATATTTTTATGTCAGCGTAAGTATGCCCTGGATATTCTTTCTGATTTCGGGCTCAGTGGATGTCAACCGGCGATTCCCCCATAGAACAAAATCATCGTCTTGCCTTGGATGACGGACCAATATATGAGAACCCTGAACGGTATAGAAGACTCATTGGTAAGTTGATTTACCTCATTATCACAAGACCCGACCTGAGCTATGTTGTTCATATCCTTTCTCAATTCATGCATTCACCGCGCCTAGCTCATTATGAGGCTGTTCTCCGGGTTATTCGATATGTAAAGAGAGATCCTAGTCAAGGACTTCTCCTCAAATCGGATTGTGACCTAAAAATTCATGCCTATTGTGATTCGGATTGGGCTTCATGTCCTCTTACCAGACGATCTCTCACTGGTTTCTTTATTATGTTGGGTTCTTCACCCATATCCTGGAAGACCAAGAAATAAGTAACGGTGTCTCGCTCTTCTGCATAAGCAGAGTATAGATCAATCGCTGCAGCTACAGCAGAGATTGTGTGGCTCAAGTCGTTTCTCACCTCTCTTGGGGTCACTCACTCAAGTCCTATGGAATTGTTTTGTGATAACCAAGCTGCTTTACACATTGCAGCGAATCCAGTGTTTCACGAGCGTACCAAGCATATTGAGTTAGATTGCCACTTTGTACGTGAACATATTCTAGCCAAGCATATTACAACAGCTCATGTGCCTTCTCGTTCCCAACTTGCTGATTTGTTTACTAAAGCCTTGGGACAACGCGAGCTTCTTAGTTTTCTTCCCAAGTTGGGCATTTCATCCTTACATACTCCAACTTGAGGGGGAGTGTTGGAGATTATATGTAACAGTATATTGTTTGAATTCTTTGTAACGTATATTGTTTGAATTCTTTGTAACCGTAGGTTTTTGTAACGTATATTGTTTGAATTCAATTCTTTGTAACCGTAGGTTTGAATTCTTTGTAACGTATATTGTTTGAATTCTTTGTAACCGTAGGACTGTTTAGATAGAGTATTTATTTGTTTTAGTCTGTTACGTTGTTACCATTTATTGTATGTTCGCCTATTTAAAGGCTACCAATGAATGAGATAAACACACAGTTGAAATATCAAGTTTATCTTTCACCCATCTCAAAAAACATATTTGGTGGGAATCAAACTCAGGTTCTTTTCCCGCCTACTCAACTTGTGTTATCAACTGAGTGGGTTAATTTTTTAATTTTAGATTCAAGTCAAGTCTGTCCAAAAACTTTTATGTGTCCATTGAAGAAGGAGAAGGAAAAGAAACGAGAGTACAAAGGTATATGATTATAGATTAAATCCTGCTCTTTAACACAACATAACATCACGACATCATGTGTCCAAAAACTTGAATTGCTTAAAAACTTGAAGTTAAGACGGTCAAATTGCTCCAATTCTTGAAGTTAACATCGCATTATGTGTCCAAAAACTTTTTTTTTCTTTTTTAATCAAAACTTAAGATAGTCAAATTGCTCCAATTCTTGAAGTTAAGATAATACACCCAAAAGTTTAATTTAGGTCAGTTGCTGCTCTGTTTATTTTATGTAGTGGTGAATCATTCTATTAATTAGGAACTTCCCATTCTCATGGTTTTGCTCTTCCGCGTCTTTGACCATTAATTTCCCACCCAAAGTTTATGACGTATGACTGGATTCTCAACACTTTGACCAATAATATTATGGGATTTTCAAAAAAGTGTTCTAAAGATATTATGTTAGGAGTGCTTAATTTTTTTATTAAAATTTTTTAATTATTTAAAAAATAAAGTATTTAACATTTTTTGTGTTTTTAATATAATAAAAGTTTTTTTTTTAGTTTTTTTTTCATACCTATTTCTCTTAAGAGTTAACATAGTAGGTAGCAAATTCTTAATATTTTTTTATATAAAAAACATTTATATAATATTGATAATTACTTATTCAGTAATGAAATTAGGCACGAAATTTGAATGTCACGAGATAATATGCTCTGGTCACTATGCTGCATTAGTGTAGTGGCATATAATTTAATTAACTAAAGGTTTGTCTTTCTGTTTTTGAGTTTTGTTCTTTGTTCCCTTGGCTTAAATAATTCATGTAACGCCCAATGGTTATGACTTTATATGAATTCATTATATGATTGTATTCTCATTCCTTCAATCTCTTTTCATTTTCCGAATGTGCTTAAAACTGACCTAAGATTGTTAACTTTCTGAAAAACACTTCCATAATGAAGTTCGACCAATTAATATTAGAATTGATGCAATTACACTTTTCAACTATGCTACTCTTCGACAATATATGTTGGTAACTGAGGTTTAAAATTATAATTCTTTCACAATTGGAATCAGAGTTTGTGCCTGTTTAAATGGGAGCTCTTATTTTTAGCCGCTCTTTTTCTTATAAATAGAAGTTAACTAAATATAATTTTACAAAAAACTTTTATCATAAAATGAGCTAATGAAGAAAAGAGCTAAGAATGAGTTTTTTTTAAATGTATTCAGCTTTTTGAATTTTTCACATTTATTTTTCAACTATACCCTTATCTAAACTTTTATCTATAAATTTTATTATTTAGCCAAATAATTTACTCTAGTAGTAAATTATTTTATCTCCCTCCCTTCAAAACCCTAACAAGAATTTCTTTTTTTTATCATAAGATGAATTTTATATAATTATCAAACAGTTTTTAGCTTTATTTTTTAAACTTTTTTTTTTTATTTTTTTTGGTAAGATATTTTTTTTAATTTTAACTTAAAAGTATCTTTTACCTTAAAAAAAAAGAAGATGTGTCAAACATGCTCTTATACTATCAAATCAAATCCATGGTACGAAAAATTAGAAGATAAAATCACAGAGCTAAATTCAGTTATTTTTTATTGTTTGGTTAATACACAAATACATGGCTGAAGGACTACATATATCTAGTATGCTCACATTATTTAATAACTTTTTCTAAAAATTGAATTTTATTAATTTAATAATCTTATTAAAAAATTTATGAAATATATCAAGCCAGGAAATTCCGTATAATTATTTTATATATATATATATATATATATATATATATATATATATATATATATATATATATATATATATATATATTCAGAAAGATAATATCATATACTTGATTGTTAATTTAATTAAATTTTCATCATACAAAAAAGTAATTTGTGTGTGGCTATACGCGCGTTGACTTTTATTAAGTGAGTAACTTAAATACGTTTAACAAAGAAAGATAATTTAACTTTCATGCTAACTCTTTTTTTTTTTTTTTTTGGTAATCTACTTTCATGCTAACTCTATTCATTAACAATGAAGTCAAATTATCTAATAATTAAAGCATGACCTTATTACCCAAAAAAAAAAGCATGACCTACTATTCTCTTTATTTATTAAATCGGATGGTTTTAATCCATCAATTCAAATTATAACAATCAATCGTGATATTTTAGTGTGAGAAAAGAACTCTTAATTGTTCCACTTTCAATGAGAAATATTATATTTACAAATTTTTTGTTTACAAACTATACTAAGTATGATCGGTCATACTTCAATCAAGAGTGTATGACCGATCATACTTAGTGTAATTAATTTGTAAAAAAAAAATTTGTAAACAGATCATTCTCCACTTTCAATTGATATTAACCCACATATAAGTGATCCTTCTTTTTGTGACGCTTTGATTATCTTTTAATAATTAGTATTTAATATATATTCACATGTTTTACTTACTTTAAAATATAAATATAAATAAACTATTTTATATTTTTATTTTAATTAAATGGAATATATATGACTGAATATTAATTACTATTACGAAGGTACATGGTATATTCATAAAAACAAATAGGAAAACGAATAAAAGACGAAGAAAAAGTAACCTTGTGGAGATTAATAAGTCCTCTTACAGCTGTGCTAGGGTTTCCTGCACCGCCATGCAAGTTCCTGACGTTCCTGAATTACGATCGGAGGAGGTTGATAATTTACAAAGAAGCAAGAAGAAATACAAAGAGGATGGATCATTTACAAATGATCAGTCTCTCATTCAATGGGAGGAAGCCTGGATGGAGGGACAAGCAAGTTTTAAAGAGATCTTAATGAGGCACAATGGTGAATGGGTTTCAGATGAAGAGGGCGATGCAGATGAACTTAATGAAAAGAGTTTGGATAAAAAGGAGGATGCTGATCTGGAGATGTCTCTAGATGAGGAAGAAGTTTAGATCGAGGTCCGTGACGATGGCAAAACCAATTTCAAGCTGTCGAACGATTTCAAACAGAAGGCTTAGAAGCCTTGGAGACAATCCCTCATTGTGAAACTGTTGGGAAAGAAACTATTAATAGGATTTATGAAAAAGAGGTTGGAGAATATGTGGGAAAGAGATGGAAAGCTTCATATCACAAATATTGATAATGATTTCTTCTTGGTTCATTTTGAAAAAAAGTCTGATATGGATCATGCTCTAACAACAGGTCCTTGGGTCATTTTTTATCATTATCTTGCTGTTAGATCCTGGGAACCTGATTTTAATGCTTTTCAAGCATCTATTAATAAAATCATAACCTGGGTTAGGTTGCCGTGTTTTCCTGCTGAGTATGTTAATTCTTCATTGTTGAAAAGGGTTGGGGACTGGCTGGGCAAATTTATCTGATTGGATGCTGCAACAACAAACCTGGCGAGAGGCAAGTTTGCTCGGATCTGTTTAGAACTTGATCTAAGTCAGCCTTTGAAAGCAGAATATTTGATAGAGAATCGATATAAGAAGGTGGAATATGAGGGCTTGCATCTCATTTGTCATAATTGTGGGAAGTATGGACATAGGGAGGAGTCCTGTCCGAGGAATGTTCCCAGCTGTGACAACAATGAGGCTACCGGTGAGAATACGCGTAAGGAATTGGTCCCTGTTTTCGAATCTGATATCGTTGAGGTAGGTGATGAGAAAAATGAGGGTTATGGTCTGTGGATGGTGGTGTCTCGGGGAAAAAAGGGGAGAAGTGATCAGGGAAACATAAGTGCTGCAGCACATAAGGGTGCAGTTCAAAATAGTGCTGTTTTGGAGAGTTTTGATAAGGATAAAAAAGAAACTGTTTGTACTATTGAGAATCCTAAAATAGAGGATCATGAGAAGGAAGGCCAGTCTTCTATGGGGAAGCAAGTTATATCCCAGGAAGCTAACAAGGTGAAGAGAAAGGAAGTCCAAGATCAGGTTAAATTAATTGAATTGGAGAATGCTTTCAAGCTTGTGTGGGATGATCTGTCAAAAAATGAAAATTTTGAGGATATTAGGTCCATGGATGAACCAAAAATTCTGAAGTTAATTCATTCTTTGGCTAAATCAAAATTAGACCACCAGACTCCTAAGGTGAATGAGCGTATAGATTGGAAGGTGACTGATAACACTATGGTGGTGGATGAGCTGCGATCTTCGGAGAGGAAGCAGGTGGTTAGTTTGGAGAACATGCAAGAGGGTAGAAGAAGTTCTAAACTTCCTAAGCCCCCTGATCCGAAGTTGAACCTTTTGAGGAGTGTCTCTAATAAGTCAAAAGGTATTGGTGTCAACCGTGGTGTTGGAATGAAATCAGCGAGACGTCTGTCACAGGTGCAAGCTCATCCTGCATCTTCCCAAAATTCTTGTTAATATTTGTTCTTTTTTGGAACTGTAGAGGTGCTGCTAAGCCTAAGCTTGGTTGTACCTTAAAAATGTTGGTGGTTAAGCATAGTGTTTGTATGGTGGTGTTGATGGAAACTCGTACTGGTAGTGGTAATAGCCAAAAGCTTATGAAAAAACTGAATTTTAACAAACCATTTTTGAGGAAGCTGCTGGCTTTTCAGGTGGAATTTGGGCGATGTGGGACTCTAATAGATCCTTAGTGGAGCTTATTTCTCAATCCAAGTAGTATCTTAATTTATTGGTTGGTATTGGTGGGCAAATGAAATTTGCCTGTACAGCTGTGTATGAAAGTCCTAGAGAAGAGGAGCGACATGTGATGTGGAATGGAGTGCACCAGTTCAGTCAGAATATTAGCATTCTGTGGGTTATTGCTGGAGACTTCAATGATATTAAAGATGCTAGTGAGAAAAAAGGTGGCTCTTCTGTGGATAGTGGTAAGTGTTATCGGTTTTCTGAGTTTTTGGATAGTTGCTTTGTTGATGATCTGCATAGTTTTGGTTCTCATTTCACTTGGCAAGGTCCAAAGTGGAACCATCTTGAGAGAGTTTATAAAAATCTTGATCGTGTTGTGTTAATCTTCCTTGGAGGGTTTCTTTTGAAGACTCTAGGGTCAGGGTGCTTCCTAGATTGCAGTCGGATCATAACCCCTTGTTGTTGAATGTCTCTAGAAGTTATAATACTTGGCAGGAAAGGCCTTTAAGATTTCTTTCTTCCTGGATAGACCATCCCAAGTTTGAGGATTTAATGGGAGGTAGTTGGGATAAAAGTGAAGAAATAAAGGTGATGTTGAATAGATTTGTTCCAAAGCTTCGTAATTGGAATAAGGTTGTCTATGGTAATATTAATAAGAGGAAAGATGCTTTAACTCAGTAGATTGGGAAAATTCAATATCAAAGGTCTTTGGCTGATTGTGTTAGATTAGAAAGTGTTGAAATTTTTTTGCAACATGAATTAAGTTTGGTATTGGATGAAGAGGAGGTGCTTTGGTTTCAGAAGTCTAGGCATAACTGGATTGTTGATGCTGATAAGAATACCAGATATTATCATTTGAAGACTGTTGTTAGAAGGAGTTCCAACAAAATTTCTAGACTTAAAAAAGACTCAAACTAGTGGATTGAGGAGCCTAATGAGCTTAGAGAGCATGTTTGCAGTTATTATAGGAGTTTATTTACTGAGGAATCATGGAATAGAAGGTGGTTTTCTTCTCCTAATTATTGGAAGCCTATCTCATCTGAAGCTCGGGATGGTTTGAATAAAATGCCTTCTAGTGTTGAAATTTCCAGCACTCTTCAGTCCATGGGAGCTTTCAAAGCTCCTGGTATGGATGGTTTTCCTGCAGTGTTCTTTCAAAGGAAATGGAAGTTCGTTAATAATCAGGTTATTGATTTGATAAGGAAGATTTGGTCTAATCCCTATTTGGTGGCTGAGATCAATTCTACTTTATTGGTATTGATTCCAAAAGAAAAAAATTCGACTATTATATCCCAGTTTAGACCCATCTCTCTCTGCTCAGTTTTGTATAAGCTTTTGTAAAAAATTCTTGTGCAAAGATTGAAGCCTCTGATGGATAAATTGGTTGCCCCTTTTCAGGTAAGTTTTGTACCTAATAGGCAAATTCAGGATAATATAATTATTGTTCAGGAGCTGGTGCACTCAATGCATAAGATGAAGGGTAAGAAAGCTTTTATGGCTATTAAAATTGATTTAGTTAAGGCTTATGATAGGCTTTCTTGGAAGTTTTTGAGATGTGTTTTAGAAGAGATTTCTTTTCCTGATCATTTTATTAATTTGATTATGTGTTGTGTGGAGTCAGCTAAGGTTAATGTGTTGTGGAATGGAGGTAAGATTGGTGATTTCTCTCTTTCTAGAGGTATTAGGCAGGGTGATCCTATTTCACCTTACCTGTTTGTCCTTGCTATGGAGAAATTGACTCATATTTTCATGACTACTTTGAATGGTGGGTTGTGGAAGCCAATTCGTGTTGGTAAGGGAGGTCCTCAGATTACACATCTTGCTTTTGCAGATGACCTCATGGTGTTTATGGAGGCTAGTGTTGAACAGTATGAGGTTTTTCATAAGTGTCTTTCTCTCTTTGAAGAGGCTTCGGGCCAGAAACTTAGTGTTGAGAAAACAAGCATTTATTTTTCTAGAAATACAAGTGCTAAAATTATTAATGATATCACACAGAGGAGTGGCTTTAAGCATGTTAGGAATATTGGTCGATCTCTTGGGTCAATGATGAGACATGGTAGGGCCTCTAAGGATATTTTTGATGGGATTGTGGAAAAGGTTAGAGGTAAGCTTAATGGCTGGAATCAGAAAAGCTTGTCTCAAGCTGGCAGAATTACATTGTCAAGTTCAGTTTTGGCTGCTATCCCTTATTTTCAAATGCAAAGCACCAAAATTCCTTCTTCAATTTGTATGAGGCTAGAGCAACTTCAAAGGAATTTTATTTGGGGGGATATGGATCATGTTAGGAAAAACCATCTTATTAGCTGGGATACAATTACATTGCCTAATCAGGTTGGTGGTTTGGGCTTGAAGCGGATGAAGCTGATGAATGATGCTTTTCTTGCTAAGAGGGCTTGGCTTTTTATGACAAATCCTGACCAGCTGTGGATTCAAGTTTTGCGGGCTAAATATGTAGCTAATTCTAGAAGAATTGGTTCTTTTAAAGTCTCCAATGGTGATTCAGTTTTCTGGTGAAAAATTTTTGTCGTGTTTGGAAGAGTATGGAGAGTATTTTAGCTTAGGAATTAGGTGATGGTAGAAGTATTAATTTATGGGAGGATAATTGGATTTTTCCCAATCAATCTTTACTTGATTGTGTTCTCAGGAGAGACTCTATTGTGCGGTCTGATGTTAAAGTTGCAGATATGGTTACAGCAGATGGGGAGTGGGACTGGTTGCGGTTAAATCAATGGTTCCCTAGTAATATTCTCAATGCTTTGCTTGGTACTCTTCCTCTTAGTGATGCTAATGGTCCTTATAGGTGTTTGTGGCGTTTGGATGGTAAGGGTGGTGTATCTTTCAAAGCTGTTTATTCTTATCTTTTGGATCAGGTTAGTTCAGTTGGTAATACTAGGCATAATTGGTCCTATCTGTGGCAGTGGTTTGGTCCACAAAGGGTCAAAAAATTTATGTGGAAGATTATGCATGAGAGGCTTCTAACTAAGGCTCGAACTGCCCTTTGGGGTAATGGTGATGATTTGTGTCCGATTTGTGGATTTGAGAAAGAGATTGTCCTCCATTCCCTAAGGGATTACTCGCATGTCTATTCAGTTTGGGTGTGCCTGGTGCCACCTGAGCATGGTGATAGTTTTTTTCTTGGAGATCTCGACTCTTGGCTTCATTTTAATTATAATTTGCAGTCTACAGATAGTACTATGCTGAATCGGTTGTCCGTCTTTTTTGTAGCTTGTTGTAAATTTTGGGTGTGGAGAAATGAAGTTTGTCATTGCTCTACAATTCCTTCGGTTATTGATAGAGTAAGGTTTATTAGAAATCTTGTTGATGATATTCAGCATGCTTGCTCTACTCAATCAAATCGATATGTGAAAAAAAGAACTATGGTTTTGGATATTTCATGGCAGTTTCCTGATTATGGTATGATTAAAATCAATTCTGATGGTGCTGCTCGTGGTAATCCTGGTTCTGCTGCTTGTGGTGGTGTGATGAGGGATGCCAATGGGAGATGGTTGGGTGGTTATGCTTATCGATTGGGTATTTGTAATGCTTTCAGAGCTAAATTATGGGGGGTGCTTAGGGGTTTGGAGATGGCTTGGAGCTCAGGCTATCGCAATGTGATGATTGAAAGTGATTCTTCTAGTGTAATCACTCTGCTATCTATGAATGGTATAGCAATCCGTGAGTGTCATCTGATATCTCGCATACGGATTTGGATTCAGAAAGATTGGACAGTTTCATTTCGTCATACATTTCGAGAAGGCAATACTATTGCTGATTGGTTGGCCAATTTTTTACTTGATGATCAAGAACAGCCTGGTAAAAGAGTTTGGTGGGATCCTCCTCCTGGTGTTTATTTTTTGTTGCTTGCAGATTTGGCTTCTTTTTGTAGACCACGTGAGGTGGTTTGTAGTCCTTAGGTGTTCTTTCTGTCTGTTTTCCCTTTTGTTTGTTTGGGCTTAGGCCTTTTATTTATCAAAAAAAAAAAGTAACCTTGTTGAAGAACAAACTTTCCGTATCAACAATATCATACACATTACCCAACATTTTTCACCATAATTCTTCTTTTATTATCAAGGCAATGTTTGAATGGAAGTTAAATGAAAAAACATGTTCATGGATGAAATGCTCCCAACTATAGCCTGCTACTGTACTGTGCTTCGAATCCCCAAATATGTGTTCATAAAAAACTCAATCAAACCGAAAGAAAGTTGAGACATATTAATTGACACTTCGTTTGTTGTTAAAAATAATCATGGGATTACGAGTGTTAATGGATTGAGTTGAGCTGAGCTTTAATCTTACAAGGTAAAATTTATGTTTAAATATGTCAGTCTGACCTAGTCTGTTACCTATTATGAATATAATTATCGGCCTGTGACCTGACTTATTTACCAACAATAAAAGTCTGATTTAACATGTTAAAAAAAAAGACAACAAAAATTTATCCAAACAAAATTTACGATCAACAATACTAATAATTCCATAAAGATTCATAAATTCAATGTATATCCAAATAGCATAATATAAAATAAAATCATTCAAAAAGTCTATTTAACCAATAAAATGGGTTGAGGAGAGAGAGAACTATTATGAGTAGTATAAAAAATAAAATAAAAAATAAATAATAGTTAATATATTAGGCCAGCCTGAGAGGCTCTAAGGCAGGACTTCTGAATTGGAGCCTGAGACCTTTTTATTAAATGAGTTTTTATACAAGTTCAAACTTGGTTCCAACAGCTCAAGCCTTCACAAGTCGGGCCAAATGCCCCTGGTTTGTTTATCACCCCTAGATGGGACATCACAAAATTAAGAGTGAACTATTGGATAAAATTAATATTTGTCCATTACCAAATTAAGCATTAAAACTAATTTCATGGAGGGTTTATGGTGAAGGTGCATCAGCCATAGATGAAATGGGTTCTAACGTTTGGTCAACTGCCAGATCTAGAGGTTCATCCTCAGTTCCTTCCAAATAGAGTAAGGTTGCTCTACCTTTACATCGATGTCCAGGAACAAAACGTTCATCACAATTATAACATAGGTTTTTATCCCTATGAGCTTGTGATAGTCTTTTGACGGGGATGGGGGGTAATGTAGGAATAGGTCTCGGGTTAAGAGCCGGAGGAACGGTAGTGAGGGGTTGGGCAGCCAATGGTGTGGGTGAGTTAGTAGAACGGGACTGCCAAGGTTTGTTGGAGCGGGCATCTACAAATTGCTCTTCGCAAACTTTGGCATATGCATAGGCTGTTGTAACGTTAATCGGCCGATGGACCAATATTGCCTGTCTAATATGTGGTTTCAACCCTGAAATGAATAAACTCTTGCACATTAGCGGTGTCAGATCTGGAATGCGACGAGCAATCAACTCGAATTCAACGACTGAACCGGATTGGTGTAATTCTGCCAAGTTACCCACGGGATCATCAAACTCGGGTGGGCCAAAACGTTGATGTAATGCAGTCACAAAGGAATTCCAATCTTGAAATTGACCGTTGCTGAATAGAGCTCCAAACCAGCATGAAGCAGGCATGTCTAGATTGAAGGAGACTAGATCGAGTCTATCTGGATCTGGTACCTGATGATAGCGAAAATAACGTTCCACTGCAAATATCCAGGGACCAGGGTCACCGGATGCGAACCTAGGAAAGTCCACGAGGGAGGTGTATTGCGTGTTGGGCCTGCGCCTAAAAGACCAGAATGAGGTTGGGAAACCAGATTTGTAATCTAAGTCTGCATGTTTTGGAGAAGTGTGTACATATCTTGGATCTGACGATTAACGCCATCAAAACGCTGAGATTGTTCCTCGAAGCGTTGATTTTGTGCAACCTCAAAGGTTTCCAAACGATGATCCACTGTACGTTCTAATGTGGTAATGTGTTGTTCTTAAGTGTGAAGCTAGTTTGTGAGGTCACGGAGTTTGGTATTATCAGCCATGACTCGATGAAAGCACCAATGTAACAGGATCAAAAGGAAAAGGTGATATTAGGGAGAAAGCACACTAGAGAGAAAGAGAGAGTTTAAAGTGAGAGATAAAGTTTCTGAATATCTTCGTACCCTTCTTACTAGTAGGGGTGTTCAACAACTGATCCAAACCAATTTAAACCACGGTGATCGAATCGAAAAACCGAAAACCAAAAAAAAATCTCAAATTTTAATTGGATTGGATTGATTTTCGGATTGGTTGATGAAAATCGATCCAATATATTAATTTCCTTCTACCTACTTGGGCCTTTCCCCAATCACAGTCCAAAAATTTCTAAACTCAAGTCCCATCAACTAAACCTAAGAAAAAACCTAGTCACATCTCATTAACAAAACTTCATCTGTGTAGAGTTTCATATCTCATTATCCAAAAAAACTATATTATCATTTACTATGATTTGGTATTTCAAAAAAAAAAATTACAAAGTCAATATATACAAAAGATGTTATTTTCACAATAATTATGAAACAAAGTTTTGGATTTTTAAAAAACCGAAAAACCGATCCAATCCAAACCGAAAAAAATTGGATTGGATCGGATCGGATCAGATTTGAAAAAAATTCAAATCGAATGGATGATTATATGATCAAATCAAAGGGATTAGATCGGATGATTTTTGCTTCTAAAATCGATCCAATCCAGGCCGCAAACATCCCTACATAATAGGTCGACTGGCTATTTAAAAGATAAGTTCATTACAATGAATTAAAATGACTGGTAATTGAAAAACATACTCCTTAGCTATTATATTCCGTCAGCCCAACAAATAGTCTTTTAGATAGACTGGTCTACTTTTCCTTCTTGGATCACGAATGTCCTGCATACTTGGGCCTGCATCATGAATCTGGCCCGTTACATCTATCTTGGCATCTTGAACCCTAGAAAATTGGATGTCACTTGGTTCCTCTAAATGATTGCAAGCCGTATAGTGTGAGAAAAGATTTGAAAGCTTGCCAATCCAGAAGGAGCAGGTATTGTCATATTACACTAACCGCTAATTTGAACTTGTTATAGATATGAAATTCTACTCTTTAAGTTCTTTGATCTTTTCATTTCATTTCTCTTTTTCTTCTTTCCAGTTACCTCGTGACTCCGATAATTTGATATTCAAGACATTAGAGGCAAAGAAAGATTCCGAGTGCCCTTGTTCCAGCCTTGCAGCATAGTCTTTGTCACTTGGCTGGTTATTTCTAAAAGCGAATATGTTGTATTTCTTTGTCTCCTTGTCATTTCTTTCTGTGTTGTATATCTTTGTCTCCTGGTTATGTCCAAAATCGAAGGGTGTAGAGGTAAAGCCCATGTCAAACAATGCTCCTCAAATAAAGTATGATGTTTTTGTTAGCTTCAGGGGCAAGGACATTCGCCGTGGTTTTCTCAGTCATTTGATTGAAGCTTTTCGTAGAAACCAAATAGATGTCTTTGTAGATGATGGACTTGAGAGAGGACATGAAATATCGTCATCACTTTCTGGAGCAATTGAAACATCATTAATTTCATTGATCATATTCTCAGAAGACTATGCTTCTTCACATTGGTGTCTGGAAGAACTTGAGAAAATAGTTGAGTGCAGAGATAAATATGGACAGACTGTAATACCTATTTTCTACAATGTAGATCCCACAAATGTGCGGCATCAAAAGGAGAGTTATGGAAATGCGCTTTCTAAACATGAAGAAAATTATAATTTGACCAAGGTGCAAACATGGAGGCATGCTTTAAACAAATCTGCTAATTTATCAGGAATTAAGTCATCAGATTTCTGGTAAGTTAATTTTCTTATTTTCTTCCAACAAATGTTAAATATTATTTTCTGTTTTTTTGTGTTATATATCTATGCATATTATCAATAGGTGTTTGCTTAAAAACAATTATTTAAAATTTGTTTTCACTAGAATTTACGCTTATTAGTTTTTTTTTTTTTTTTTTTAGGTAAACATGCTTATTAGTTATTATTTCCACAAATATTTGTCAATGTCACATAACATTACCTTAATATTTGTTTAAATCAAAGCAAACTCTAAATTTGATTCTAAATTGTAGCCCGTCCTATTACCTAACTTTTGGTTAACTTAGCACCATTGAGAATTTCAAGAATGAAAAAGTAAAAAACAAAAATAAAGACCAATTATTAATTAATAATAATATGAAAATTTGAAAAAAAAAAATTTGATCGATTTTCATGAATTTCAAGGTATTATTCTTTACCACTATTATGTTCTCTATAATCTTTCATCCTTTTATTTTCGATTCAGCCTTTTATATGCATTATATTAGTGTATGTTCTAATGAGAGTGATTTAATTTTTAACTTCGTTCTCTCTTAAACAATGACATATGCCAAGTAGACCCAAGTAATACAATTAAATATACTCCAATTTCCTAATGACAGATATAATTGATTCGTATATTTCAATATTTCTAAAAACATCCAACAAGGCCTTTAGCTTTGGTACTTGTCCCCGTCCCCTCTCAAACTTCAAACCAAGTGAACTTATAGGAATTTCATTAAATTTCTTGTATTCTCTCTCTCTGTTGTATAGGGATGATGCCAAGCTCCTTGATAAAATCATCAAAACTGTCAATCATGAATTAATGATGAGGTTGAATAAGCACCCAATTCAGTCAAAAGGACTTATTGGAATTGGCAAACCAATTGCACATTTAGAATCGTTGTTACGTCAAGATTCAAAAGACGTACGTGTTATTGGAATTTGGGGTATGGGCGGTATTGGCAAGACAACCATTGCACAAGAAGTATTGAACAAACTAAGGTTTGATTATGAAGGTTGTTGTTTTTTGGCAAACATAAGAGAAGAATCAACAAGAGGTAGAATCAAATCCTTAAAAGAGAAACTCTTTTCTACAATATTAGCAGAAGATGTAAAAATTAACATAGCAAATGAATTGCCTGGTGATATTATGACGAGGCTCGGTCGTATGAAGGTTCTCATTGTTCTAGATGACGTCAATGATCCAGATCAACTAGAAATTTTAGTTGGAGGTCATGATCGATTTGGATCCGGTAGTAGAATCATTGTAACAACTAGAGATATGCAAGTGCTTGTGGCTCACAAAATTGATGATGATGACATATACAGGGTAGGAGCATTGAAGTTTGATGAAGCACTTAAGCTTTTCAATTTGCATGCCTTCAAACAAAATCATATTGAAATGGAGTACTCTGAGCTATCAAAGAGGGTGGTCAATTATGCCAAAGGCATTCCTTTAGTTCTTAAAATTTTGGGTCATCTTCTTTGTGGAAAAGATAAGGAAGTGTGGGAAAGTCAGCTCGACAAATTTAAAAAAATGCCAAATAAGAAAGTTCATGATGTGATGAAACTGAGTTATGATGATCTAGATCGCAAAGAGCGAACGATGTTTTTAGATCTTGCATGCTTCTTTAGTGGAATGAATTTGAAAGTGGGTTACATAAAACTCTTACTGAAAGATCATGAAAGTGATAATTCAGTTGTTGTTGGGTTAGAAAGACTCAAAGACAAAGCTCTAATTATTATTTCTGAAGATAATGTTGTCTCTGTGCATGATATTATACAAGAAATGGCTTGGGAGATTGTTTGCCAGGAATCTAGTGAAGACCCAGGAAACTGCATTCATTTGGGGGATCCTAATGAAGTTTATGAAGTGTTAAAATATGATAAGGTAAAAGGCTAAATTAAATATAAAATATTTTTATAACATTTGACTCTTTTGTGGGAAATGTGATTTTTAATGCTGATTAAAACTTTTTTCTACTTTTATGGCAGGGGACTAAGGCCATTAGAAGCATAAGGGCGTTCTTGTCACAAGGCAGGAAGCTCATGTTGAGCCCTCACATATTTGCTAAGATGAGCAAACTACAATTTCTGGATTTTGAATCCCCATATGATCCATATGGCTTGGATCTTCTTACTCAAGAGCTTCAATCTTTGCCAACTGAACTAATATATCTTCGTTGGACGAATTACCCTCTGAAATCCTTGCCGGTGAAATTTTTTGCGGAAAAACTTGTTATTTTGGACTTATCAGAGAGTAGAGTGAAAAAACTTTGGGATGGAATGCAGGTAAATATGTGTTTTCCTGATTTAATTTTTCTCTTAACAACAATTTAAGCTCATGTGTGATGTCTTATTTTGCTACAGAATCTGGTGAATTTAAAAGAAGTTATACTTAGTAGATCCCATTTTCTAAAGGAGCTGCCAGACTTTTCAAAAGCCACAAATCTTGAAGTACTTAATATCTCTTGGTGTGTTGAGTTGACTAGCGTGCATATTTTCTCTCTGCACAAGCTTGAGAAATTGGATGCAAGGTTCTGCAGTTCCCTTATCAGACTCACAAGCGATGCCCATTTAACCTCCCTCAACTATCTCAGACTTGAATACTGCGATAATCTCAGGGAATTCTCGGTGACATCAGTGAATATGATAGAACTGAATTTACAATACACTCGTTTGGATGCATTGCCCACATCCTTTGGACATCAAAGCAAGCTTGAAATCCTAGATCTTGCAGGCTGTCGCATTGAGAGCTTGCCTTCATCCATTAAAAATCTTACAAGACTGCGACATCTAAGCGTGTGTAATTGTAGGAAGCTTCGGACTCTGCCTGAGCTTTCCCCCTCCCTTGAAACTCTACTTGTCGAAGGGTGCATATCACTAGAGACTGTATTGTTCCCTTCAACAGCCACTGAACAATTCAATGAAAATAGGAGAAGGGTAGGGTTCTGGAATTGCTTGAACTTGGACAAGTATTCTCTCATGGCTATTGAGTTGAATGCGCAAATTAACGTGATGAATATAGCACAACATATATCCACTCCAGAACACGATTATGTTGAAAATTACTATGATCAAGCTACGTACGTGTACGTGTATCCAGAAAGTAGAGTTCCAGAGTGGTTGGAGTATAAGACGAAAACTGATTATGTAATTATTGATCTCTCTTCTGCTCCACCCTCCCCTCCATTAGGCTTCATTTTCTGCTTCATCATCGGAGGGGGGCAAAGATTTCAGTCATTGAAATTTAACATCATTATCAGTGATTGTGAGGGTGAGGGTATCATGGGCAGTGTCGATATGTACATGTCTTCGCAATTCATCATCACTCGCTCTGATAACGTGTGTGTGATGTACGACCAGCGCTGTTCTCGCTACCTAAATAGCAGTGCCGAAACACAGACAAGGTTTAAAATCAAGGTTACAGCAAGCTCAGGATCATGGAACCTTCTACAAATTATAGGGAATTCGGAATTTGATAAGCCGATTGCATTAGAGGGGTTCGGGGTAAGCCCAATAAGCACCCTGGCATATCGCAACTTCAGTCATCAAATGAAATTTGGGTGATTGTTCTCTAAATACGTCGATGTTGTGTAACTAATGGAATTCGGTTGTGCTTAGTATCATCCGATGAATCTCCTTCTGGTTTAAGGTGAAATTTTTAACTTAGAATATTCGCAATCTTAATGAGTCCAACATATTTGATTTTGGATTTGCGTCTCTTCACCCTTGCTAGGAATTAAGTCTATATGTATTCAAGTTGTCAACATAGTTCTTATAATTTAAAGTCATAAAATGGATATGTTAAGTGTTTAAACAAACAGATATAAGCTACCATTACTCAAAAGATACTAATATGTAATACTCAAAACTACCATGAAAGATACTATTATGCAGGCATTGATTCACAAGTTTTTCTTTTTAATGTGGATTCCTTTTTCTTCTTAACTACCGTATGTTTTGCATTTTTGTAGGCGGTGTTCTTAATGGAAGGACTATTGCTGTGATTTTAGATAGACACTAGCAATATTTGCGCCAGAATAGCAGGGCCTTATACCTATTGCTGGTCATTAAATTTGCACGCAAGTTTGGTTGTTAGTATATTTGCTAACTGATGTGGCACTTGCATTCAATTTACATGTATGTAAAAGTTGTACAAGATCAATTGATCAAAACACATCTCCAATGGAGTTTAGCCCATCAAGTTGCCAAGTGTTGTGTGAACTCAAATGAATAAAATTTTGTGATCTTTGAAATGTATTGTACACAACATTTGGGCGGTGATCCACACCATGAAATCAAGCCAATTGCATTTGATTAAGTTCTAGAACTTTTGCTGATGAGAAAATTATTTGTCCAGGAAAGATGTTCAGTTTCCAACAATCTGGACTCGAATTGACTTATCAAACCCTGTCAACGTATTCAAAGGACTAATATCACTGTTTTTGTACCTTACCACAGTGAACATTTGTTTTCTTTATTTTCGGTTTCTCATTAAGGTTCCAGTGAAATGCCATATTTGTCACATTATTGTGCAGCATTCCAATCTTAAATCAGAATCTTGTCAAAGATCTTCTCTGAACCAAAACTTCGAAACACATGATACTCCATCTCATTAGTCCTTGATCCTATAATTATTTTTTCAAGCTTATGATGCTATGAAAGCAAAAAGAAATCTCGCAAGTCCCAACTACTTTTCTTATGCTGCACAGTTTCTTTCCAGCGAAAGAAGTTATAGAAAATGAAATCAAACAGCATTAAGCTAAAGCGTTAGTTGTTTGGATTTACAATTTTAAGTGTAGTAATAACCCAACATTTTCAAAAAATAAGGCAGGTGTCAATTTTGCTACAAGTTCACCGTTGACTGCAAAGATGGCAAGCCCCAAGCCGAATATCTGCTAGTGGAAGGATAGTTTCAGAAACGAAACATATCAGAAACATTCTATATATTGAGTAGAATGACGGATTTGCAACCATTTAACAATAAAGCAACACATGTTAATTTCATTTCTCTCTGTTGTAAGTGACCTCTGCTAGTAAGTAACTAAACAACTAAAGCTCAATGTATCATTCAATAAAGGGGAAAAAGAAGCAAAGGTTATACAATACAGAATACTGTTGGCAAATCATTACAGAATACTGTTGGCACAATTACTGTCTACTGCAGCTTGAAGGGTCACCAAACTGTAAAATACAACATCTACAATAGCTAGACTGCATATATACCACAGCTCCATCAAAAAGTCCAAAAAGGCAAACTCATGTTTCAAGTGATTCCAGAAAAAGCTGTTGATGATCCCGGTCAGACACAGAAGGATGAAAATTGTCTATTGCTTATCTGCTTTGTGCGTCAGAAAAGATAAGCTTGTTAACATTATGATTGGCCATGCCCCCTCAATCATAATGCAATGCATGGATACAAGTTGAACATTTATTTTATATAACAATGACAGTAGTCTCAGTTTCATGAAGCTACTTGACGTAAATAATCCGACCAATTATTTCATCCGACAAACCTAAGATCACATCGTTTCATACCAAAAATATTGAAATGCTTTTATTATAAAATCGTTTCTCTAGCTCAAAGTTTGATTGCATTAGTAGTTTATCATCAACTTTTCATATCACAATTCGCACAAAGAAGCCTGGTGAGAATAAGCCCTCTAAAACTGGACGCGCAGATGCCTAAGTAAGAGACTGAATTATTCTCAATAGTATTAATTTGTGTTTCAAGTAAACACAAAAATTTCATGTTCACCATTCACCAACATCAAAGATATTTTCGGAAGTGTTCCCATGTCAATCGATAGCAAAACCAAAAAGGGAGGAGAGAGAGAGGTGAAGAAAGAAAAGTGTCATTTGTATCGATCAAATATAAATAAGAGAAATGGAAAAATATAAAAAATGGAGAATGTATTCTAATATGGAAGGCCAAAGTATCAGAGGTAGATAAGGAAAGATACTACAACTCAGTGATTATAGTCAGGTAAAAAGAAAGTCTTCAAACAACAGTAGGTCTGTAACGAAAGCCAAATCAAGAATTTGGGATATGATAATTACTTATATAAATGCAGAATGCTTGATGTCATTAATTGGATAGCCATAAATAACAGCAGAGTCACAATTTCTTAATGCAGATACAGGTGTAAATGCACAGAAGTGACAATTGTATAAATCTATATCTTCCAAAGTATTCATTTCAAGTTATTTTATGTGGTAAGTTACACAAAGGAATAGACAAATAGAGATGCTATCTATTTCCAATGCTACTTTCGGAAAATGCCCTCTAATGCTACTTTCTTAATTCTTATCCCCAAATAGCCTCTTCTTCTAGCTAGCTTGTGCTTCTACAGGATCAACACTCAGTCACAATCTTCCGTTGGCTAGTAGTTTCTCATAAAGCTAGGATTGCTTCTGCGGTAACAATAATAAGCTCCTTCATCGGCCATGAGGCAGTTTGGGTTCCCCCGGATGGTTCCTATAGCCTTTTTGAGCTACGAGACAATGTCTTAGTGCTCCTATACTGCCCAAAGAGATTCAGAAGTGGCAATAGGTGACTCTCATTCCCATATCAACAATGTCAAATGGAGCATTCCAAGCAACATGATAAATTAGTTATTAAATTACTCTCCTTTCAAAATTATTTACCAGTTTATTAAATTTATCACTTTTAATTATTTATACCTATTATGTTTTTTGGACTCAGCTCACATGGTCAAAGGTGATCAAAGGTAATCAATTTTAATTAAAGTAAAATAGATCAATAAATAATTTTGAAGATAGGATAAATTCATAAATAATTTTAAAGTAAAAGTATATTGAATAATCGGCCAAATTTTGTAGTAATTTTTTTTTTTTTTTTTTAGATTTTATAGTGCATTTGTATATGCGTTCTGACTTGGATTTTTCATCATATTAATAATAAATAAATAAGCATATAGTAATTTTTTAGTTTTAACCTCTCAATCCACATGTTAAATTGTTACTGGTGCCACATAAAACACTGCACGTAACGAATTAGGCTCTGCCACGTAATTTCCCTACACAATGTAATGAGATTATGTGGTCTTAAACTTGCTGATATGGTGTCTCGTAAACTCTTTACACAGTGCAGCGAGTTTGGTGACGTGGCATTTTGGCAATTTCATTTCCTAATATGATAATCCTATAAATTTTTGCAAAAAAAAAAATTGGCGAAAGGGTCGTTGTCCCATCTTAGTAAGCCTAGCACGCATTTATTTAGAACCCGTTTGTTTTCCCTTTTAAAAAAAAGTAACTTTTATCTTTTTCTTATTTTGGAAGTCATTTTTATAAAATTTAAAGCTATTTATATTTTTATAAAAATATTTAGTTTTTGAAAAAAATATTTGGCTTTTGACTTCTGCTTTTTTTAGAAGTTAAAATTTTTAGCTTCTGGAAAAAGTAAGTTTTTGACTTTTTTTTGACTTCTGCTTTTAAAAAAAAGCAGATATCCAAATGAACTAAAACTGAGAAGTGCTTTTTTTCAAGAAAAAAACCAACTTGTGGAGAAAAAAAAACCCATCCAAACGAGCCCTTAGTCTATGTTTATATAGGGCAGAAGTTACTAATACGCCTTTCAAATTGGTGTTTCTGTAACTGAATGATTCTCATGAACTCTGTTGGGGTACCCAGCCCAGCCCAAACTAAGGTCTCAAACGGGCCCTATAATGTTTGTTTTCTGTCCACGGCCCCCCCCCCCCCAAAAAAAAATTAAAAAATTCCTGCATTCGTTTTCTGGTACATGGTTTTTTAGTTTTTATAATATATTGTGTACTTTTCATCTTTTGATTTATTACTACCGAAGCAATTTTGTCATTTTTAAGAAGGCAGTGAAGAGTGAAAATAAAGAATTAATTAAGATCAATTGTTCACCTTCTCATGTTTTGTAATTATTAGCAGGACCAGGAATTACTCAATATTGATCATTTACTCTCTATGTTATTGTAGTTAGTACTTAGTACAGAGACTAAGAGCTAAAGAAGCTTTTAGTTACTTCCAGTATCAAATTCATTAGCTTTTAGTTAAGATCAATTGTTCACCTTCTCATGTTTCGCTCCCACATTTAAATAAACATTCACAAACTTCATATTATTTATCTTCATAACTTTCACAAGTGATAACTTTCATAGTGAAAACTCTGAAACCGATGGTAATTTTGTAAGAAAATTATTAGCAGAAAATTGCTTTTGGTACTAGCAAATGTATATTAATAAGTGGCGGAGCTAAGCTACTCCCCATACTATTGACAAAAAATAACAAAAAAAAAAAAGAAATAAAAATAAAACAATCCGTTACGGGAACATATCTATGGGTTTAACGAAGAAACAGTTAGAAGAATGCCAAACTATGCCAAATGTCACCTAAGTTTAATTAATCAAACATAATTTCATGATGAAGTGAGCAACCCTATATGATGTTAACAACAAGAGGGTTGCTGAATGTGATGACTACTTTTTCAATCCGATTGACCTAATCATTCTAGTTCTTACAATTGTACCCATAACATGATACATAGCAAAGAGTAGTTCATTTGGTGGGTCCAAAACCCCAAACCCAGTCCTCAGCAGGTGAAAAAAACATATTGAAGGTCACCAACCAAAGATATGTGGGACACACACAACCAAAGAGAATGGCCGTTGCTTCATAACTGAATCCACTAACAAACTATCTACCAGGAATTAGGTAACCTTAAAAAACAAAAAACAGAAACTTATTGATCTTGATCTTGTTGGGAATTTAAAAAAAAAAAGAAGCTTTCCATAAGCAGTGCCAAAAGCTTTCAAGCAAAGTTTACATCATTATTTCCACTTAAATGTATATGCTCATACATGCCACCTAGAAGACCATGAATTTTATAATTGTTCACTTTCTTTGTGAGTACGATTGAAACCCCATTAGGTTATATATATATATATATATATATATATATGGGATAGGATCATTTGACACCGGTGTCAAATTTTAAAATTTGACACTAAATTCTAACCGTTGATTTCCGCCAATCAACGATTATCATTTATTGGGAATTACACTTATTAATTAATTATTAATTCCAATAAATGATAACTGTTGATTGGCGAAAATCAACGGTTGGGATTTGGTGTCAAATTTCAAAATTTGACACCGGTGTCAAAGGATCTTGCCCCTATATATATATATATATATATATATATATATATATATATATATATATCTGTGTGTGTGTGTGGCATTAGGGGTGTTCGCGCGGTTTGGATTGGATCTGTTTTGAAAGTAAAAATCATCTGATCCAATCTC